TTTTGGCATTTGAATCATTTCTTTTAAATGCATTTCGTGCCTTAGGACAAATTTGACTATCTTTCCAGTAGAACCCAACCCTGACATTCTGAAAGTTAAAAAATCAGAACTACGACTGTATTGTGATTTATTGATGCAGCAAGTGCACACTGTTAAGACTGAAGCAACCAAGGAGGGTGGTCCAGAAATCAAAGTAATATATACTTCTGTGGCATTTTTATTACAATTTTTGTCAATTAAATTAAAACAGAAAATCAGTATCAATTTCTATTTTACAGACCCTTGACGAAGCTACGAATCTCTTAGGAGCCACTTGTGACACATTTATCAAAACTTTAGAGGAATGTATAAAGATTGTTAATACAAACCTTAATGATGTTCCTGCTGTGGCTGATACATCTGCTCCACCATTACCACACAATCAGTCTAAAAGTAGAGTAAGTAAATGTGATTCATTTCATTGATACATGTCCTAGCTGTGGTGGTGGTTCTCTATCTCTCTGTTCTTCTCTCTGTCTCTCTCTTTAAGGGAACTAAGAGTGTATCCCATATTGTAAGAAGCACATCTATTGACAAGTAAGTCGGTATAAAATGCTTTGGTGTAGTGCCAAAGTACTTGGTCTACATTTTTTCATGCTTGACACATTTTATTTTTTGTCCCTTTGCAGAAAACTGTAGAAAAGAAGAATTAATACTTTATGAACAAATTATTATTCAGATTAAAATAATTGTACTGATAGACAAAGTGCCAACTTGGATAAGCAGGAATAAATAGTTGACTAGGAGACGCACAACTTGAGATTTGTGATGCAGATGAGGATGCAGAGTTTTGATACTTTCGTCTTTCAAATGTTGAACACCTTTACCTCCTACATCACAGTAAAAAAAGGCAGTGCTACTTATACTCAGTATTATGTGCTTAGAAAGTAGATAAGTGTTGGCATTTTTCTATACCCTCATAATGGAGAGGAAGGTATTTTCTGCTATATTACCTATAAACGATCTGAAATGTGGGCTTGCAGCCACACTGTGATTGTATTTTTAAACCAAAGCATTTTGTTTCGTTGTGCAAATGTGTTAGTGTATTAAACCTTGTTAAGAAATGTACTTTGTGTATTTTGATTTGAACAGTCCCAAACAAGTTATTAACTTCATAATATTTATTAAACAGGAATAATTTAAATTGCAACAATACTTAAATGGTAACGGTGAAAACTATGAATAACACTTATGCTAAACAATTCTTATACACAAACACAGCACAAAATTGACTAGTGAGCAACACTATCTTCAACAAAATTTCAATTAAACAACCAATTTAAATTTAACATCTTTCTAAATACAAACATTACAATAGAAACATTTACAAATAACATGCTAGAACACTGATACCAAAATGAGTAGTAGCACGAGAAGTGATACATGTGGGCGCTGGCGCGGGCTTGAGTCAGTTGTGGGATACTCGAAGTCGTCGTGGTCGGACTTGCCCAGCTGGCGAGTGAAGGCCAGATTGCGCACCCTAAGCAGCGCCGCCAGTTGGTTCGACGTCATGTCCTGCTGCTGCAGTGGGGTGACCGCCGCGGCCGCCACCGGAGAGAGTACGCCCAGGTGATCGCCGAGAGCCTGCAAAAGGACCGGACGAGGTGAGGCGCCTTACGACGGCAGGGTAGGCCGCCCGCTCCGCACGTGAGCTCGACGGGACTGCCCACCCGGCCTCTGACAGGCGTCTGGAGGCGGCCTGCAGGAGGCCTGGAGCGGCGAACCTACCTGCACCTGCTCGGGAGACATGCAGGACACCGCGCTCGCAGTCAGTCCAGATAAGGGCTGCTCAACCTCTGCGAGAGCTCGTTGCAGCTGCGACAGCTGCTCCGTGTTGAGACCTGGTGACAAGAACGTCATCGAGTGAACAGGCTATGAAGGAGGCGGTGTCGCGAGACAGAGCCACGGCGATACTCACCGGCCGCGATGACTCCCATGTCCCGCACGTCCTCGGCCGTCCAGTTGGCGGGAGCGCCCAGAGCGGCGTCCGAGGCCGCGGCCCTGGCCAGCTCCCCGAGGCAGGAGGCGTTGCAGTGCAGCGCGACGCCCTGCAGCGAGTGCGCCGCGTGCAGCAGGGCCCCGCGTCGCGCCAGGAGGAGGCGCTGCAGGTCCAGCTGCAGGTGGCACGCAAGCGGCCCCAGCGCCACGAGCAGGCTGTCAGGCTGCAGCTCGATGTACTCCGCCGGGCCCGCCGAGCCCGCCACGGCGCGCAGCTTGGGGTTCTGCTGCTCCAGGCGCGCGGCCACCGCGTCCAGGACCGCTGGGTCCGTCACGTGCTCGCCGATGACGCTCAGGGTGTCCAGCGCGCGCTCGTGCGCCAGACTGATGTTCAGCTGCTCGACCTCGTCCACGTCGAGGGCGGATACGAGCCGGCCCAAGTCGCCTAACAGATCCGCGCGCTCCGGCTGCAACACGGCACCACCAATGTGAGACGAACTGGAGGGTATATTACCGTGGTCAAAGCCAGGCCGCAGCACA